GCAGAGCTCAGGCATGGGGCAGGGTCTACGATTGTCTTTCAAACAATCTCTGAATGCTACTGGGTGTCTGCGGGTGTCTACTGCTGCAGGTGTCTACTGTTGCAGGCGTCTGCTGCTGCGGGTGTCTACTGTTGCAGGCGTCTGCTGCTGCAGGTGTCTACTGTTGCAGGTGTCTGCTGTTGCAGGCGTCTACTGTTGCAGGCGTCTACTGTTGCAGGTGTCTACTGCTGCGGCTGTCTACTGCTGCAGGTGTCTACTGTTGCAGGCGTCTGCTGCTGCGGGTGTCTACTGCTGCGGGTGTCTACTGCTGCAGGTGTCTACTGTTGCAGGCGTCTACTGTTGCAGGCGTCTACTGCTGTGGGTGTCTACTGTTGCAGGTGTCTGCTGTTGCAGGCGTCTACTGTTGCAGGCATCTACTGTTGCAGGTGTCTGCTGCTGCAGGTGTCTGCTGCTGCGGGTGTCTACTGTTGCAGGCGTCTGCTGCTGCGGGTGTCTACTGTTGCAGGTGTCTGCTGTTGCAGGCGTCTGCTGCCTCAGGTTTCTACTGCTGCGGGTGTCTACTGTTGCAGGCGTCTGCTGCTGCAGGTGTCTACTGCTGAAGGTGTCTGCTGTTGCAGGCGTCTGCTGCCTCAGGTTTCTACTGCTGCGGGTGTCTACTGTTGCAGGCGTCTGCTGCTGCGGGTGTCTACTGCTGCGGGTGTCTACTGTTGCAGGCGTCTGCTGCTGCGGGTGTCTACTGTTGCAGGCGTCTGCTGCTGCGGGTGTCTGCTGTTGCAGGTGTCTGCTGTTGCAGGCGTCTACTGTTGCAGGCGTCTGCTGCTGCGGGTGTCTACTGCTGCAGGTGTCTACTGTTGCAGGCGTCTACTGCTGCGGGTGTCTACTGCTGCAGGTGTCTACTGTTGCAGGCGTCTGCTGCTGCGGGTGTCTACTGTTGCAGGCGTCTGCTGCTGCGGGTGTCTACTGTTGCAGGCGTCTACTGCTGCAGGTGTCTGCTGTTGCAGGCGTCTGCTGCTGCGGGTGTCTACTGTTGCAGGCGTCTGCTGCTGCGGGTGTCTACTGTTGCAGGCGTCTGCTGCTGCGGGTGTCTACTGTTGCAGGCGTCTGCGGGTGTCTACTGTTGCAGGCGTCTGCTGCTGCGGGTGTCTGCTGCTGCGGGTGTCTGCTGCTGCAGGTGTCTGCTGTTGCAGGTGTCTGCTGTTGCAGGCGTCTGCTGCTGCGGGTGTCTGCTGTTGCAGGTGTCTGCTGTTGCAGGCGTCTACTGTTGCAGGCGTCTGCTGCTGCGGGTGTCTACTGTTGCAGGCGTCTGTTGCTGCGGGTGTCTGCTGTTGCAGGTGTCTGCTGTTGCAGGCATCTACTGTTGCAGGCATCTGCTGCTGCAGGTGTCTGCTGTTGCAGGCGTCTGCTGTTGCAGGTGTCTGCTGTTGCAGATGTCTGCTGTTGCAGGCGTCTACTGTTGCAGGTGTCTGCTGCTGCGGGTGTCTACTGTTGCAGGCGTCTACTGTTGCAGGTGTCTGCTGCTGCGGGTGTCTGCTGTTGCAGGTGTCTGCTGTTGCAGGCGTCTATTGTTGCAGGCGTCTGCTGCCTCAGGTTTCTACTGCTGCGGGTGTCTGCTGTTGCAGGTGTCTACTGTTGCAGGCGTCTGCTGCCTCAGGTGTCTGCTGCTGCGGGCGTCTACTGTTGCAGGCGTCTGCTGCTGCGGGTGTCTAAAGCTGGGTGTACACTGTGATTTTCTGCCCCTCCTGAGCACAAACGAGTTTTGCGTTGTGTAGTACACAGGGGGTAACAAGACGTGATTAAAACCTCACGACCAGCTCCCAATCAGCAAGCGTGCAATGGTAAGGAAATCAAACATGATTGATATTTTGCTCGTCTCTTATGGGGGTATCATGTGGTTGAAGCAGCCCTGCGACCCATATGCACCACAACGGCTCACACAGCACACGTGCCAACATGGCTGCCCAACTACTTCCGTGTCCACACAACAGGAAGGATTGTCAATAAGGCGTTTGCTGTTTCTGTTAATAAAAAAACATCATTTTACTTCCTTCCATTCTTCCTCCTCCAACCCCATAAAACTGTCCTCCTGCAGCTACGGTTAATTTGACAACAGCACAACAGTCTCCTCCCTTCTGGGTTTTCAGACTCAAAGGTCTAACGTGTTGCTAGCAAGCACACCACATGGGCAGTCGGCTGGTATACGCGCTTCAGGTCGTATGGTGTGAGAACAGAACTCGTGAGCTATGTCCTGTGGTAAAGTTGGATGGAGCTGAATACGCCCAGCTCACAAAGTCCCATCACCAGGCTTCCCTGCACGGACCTGCAGCTGGCTCTTCCTCTGCAGCAGCTGACTGTGAAGTTGCTCTCTGGTTCTGATAGCAGCACTTAGCTGCTCCTGCAGCCCGTCAGACTTCTCAGGACCAAACACAGAGTCCAGTAGGTCCCCTTTGTCCTGCAGCAAGCCCAGACGCTCCTGTAGCTGGACACTGTCCTTTAGGAGTCC